CAGGGCCTAGGGCGTGGCTTCGTGGGGGGTCATACATGGGGGGGTCAGAAACGGTCCCCTTTCATGCCCATTTCGGGGCCCTTCGGAGCCCCAGGGGGCTCGTTCAGGTACCGTTTGGGTACCTCTCCGTACGACCCTCGCCACCCCGCCATTCACCCTGACCTTCCCGAGTGCAACCAGAGAGCCCTCCAGACCTGTAGACCTGTCTGGACTGCGCAAAACCTCGACTGGATTTCAGATGTCGAGGTCCTGGTGCTATTCTTTGGCCCTCGAGGGGAAGGTCTGGGCACAACCCCCCCCTTGCGCAGAGCCCAGGGGCCGAGGCCTGTGGACGCTCCGGGCTCGTGCCGGGCCTGCGTGGGGCGGCCCTGGATCGGCCGAGGCCTCGCGAGGCCTCGAGGCCTTAGGCCCCAGTGCAGGGCTCGAGCCAAGCAGTGTCTTTCGTCTCCGCTGTGCTTTCGTTGCCCTTCGTTCTGTCTTCGTTCTGCCTGTGCTGCGAAACGAAATCAAAACGAAAACGCCCCACGAAAGCGCCAACCCGCCGTTCACCTCGAGCCCTGACCGAGACCAGCGACGTCGGTGAGTTTTTCATGACGTGGACCCCCAGAGGTCTGTGCCCCCTTCCTGGGGGCCAACTCTTAACCCTGAATCGCTTTTCGACGGTCCCGAGGCCCGTCGAGGGCCCCCCGTCCGTCGTGTTCTGCCTTACGACCCGAGGGCATCTGCTATGGGAGGCCTCTGGAGGCTTCGGGGCTTCCCAGAAGACGCCTCCACAGCCGGATGCAGCCAGACTCTTGAGGCAGGAGAGCCCATCATCGAATGGAGAAGTCGACTCGGCGATCGACACGACTCGGACCGGCGGACATCGGCGGGAAGCGGCAAAGACGTAAATGCCCAACGGAGAAATCAGCATCCAGAATCCGGAATCCGAAGCCGAATCGAAATCGGAATCCGTCGACATCGAGTCGGATCGAATCCGAGGGATCGAAGCGAGAGGACGAGGAGGAGGAGGAGGAGGAGGAGGAGGAGGAGGAGGAGGAGGAGGAGGAGAGGAGATGAGTAGAGGAGAGGAAAGAGGAGGAATGAAGAACAGGATGAGGAGTAAGGAGGAGGAGGAGGAGGAGGAAGGAGAGGAGGAGGAGGAGGAGGAGGAGGAGGAGGAGGAGAGGGAGATGAGGAGGAGGGAGGAGGAGAGGCCAGCCTCTGGAGGCCTCCCTGCCCGGGGAGGGGGCCTCCCACGCGAGGGGGCGGCCCGAGAGGGAGGGGGGCGTCGCAGCTCCACGGGCCTCGGGTCGTGCGCGCTGGCCCCGTGGGGGGGGGGGAAGGGACCGTCTTGGAGACTAGGAGGGAGGCACTGGGCACAGGAGGGTCACGAGCCGGGGCACGATGAGGGTGACGAGGAGAAGGAAGGGGGTAGGATGAGGGACATGGGGCACGAGGAGGGTCGAGGAGGGGGCGGAGAGGACGAGGATGGGGGGGGGGGGGGAAGGGGAGGGGGGGGAGAGGAGGCCGAGAGGAGGCGGGGGGGGGGGACGAGGAGAGCGAGGGAGGAGGAGCAGGTGCCACAGCATCTTGGGAGATCTCGATCCATCGCTGCAGCGCGGGGCGCCCCGCTTCAGGGCGGCCGCCTCCTGCCTCGAGCGGTCGACGCTCCCCCTCCTCCCTGCCCTTTCTCCGAGCCTTTGCCCCCCTCCTCCTGCTCCTCGTGCTCCTCCTGCGCCATCTCCTGCTCCTCCTTCCCCCTCCCGGTCCCCTCTCCTATCTCCTCGACTCCCCCATACCTCCTTCTCCTCCTCCTCCTCCTCCTCATCCTCCTCCTACAAAATCTTCTCCGCGCACCCCTCCCTCCTGGGCGGAGGGAACGCAAAGGGAAGCGATGATGGTGATGATGATGCTGCTGATGATGATAATGATGATGATGCGGATGATGAGCAATGATGATTATGCTTCTGATGATGCTGATGATGATGAGGATGATGAGGATGTTGATGATGCTGCTGACGCTGATGATGCTGATACAGAAGAAAGATGCCAATGCTGATAATGCTGATGCTGCTGATGATGATGATGATGATGATGATGACGCTGGTGATGATTGTGCTGATGATAAGGATGATGCTGCTGATGATGATGATGATGATGAGTATGGTGATGACGATGATGATCATGATGATAGTGATGATGCTGATGATGATGGCGACGATGAAGATGATGTTGACGATGATGATGATGATGATGATGATGATGATGATGATGTTGATGATGGTGATGGTGATGATGATGATGATGATGATGATGATGATTGTGGTCATATTGATGCGGATGGTAATCATGCTTATGATGCGAATGATGGTAGTGGTGATGATGATAGTGCTGACGATGCTGATGATGATGACGATGAGGAGGATGCTGATGATGATAATGGTGATGGTGGTGGTGGTGATGATGATGTTGACGTTGTTGATGATGATGGCGACGACGATGATGGTGATGACGATGATGGTGATGATGATAATGATTATGATGACAATAGTGCTGCTGATGATGACGATGTTGGTGGTGGTGATGATGATGACGATCCTGCTGATGATGATGGTAATGATGATGCTGGTAATCCTAATGTTGATGATTATGGTGATGATTCTGGTGTTTGTGATGATGAAGGTTGTGATTGCGCTGGTGATGACGATGACGGTGACGGTGATGCCAACGACAATGACATCGGCACTGATGAGTATGGTTATGACGATGACGGTGATGCTTGTGACTGTGATGATGATGATGATGATGATGATGATGATGATGATGATGAGGGAGATGACGACGATGATGAGGATGACGCTAACGATGATGATGGTGATGCTGCTGCTGCTGATGATTGTGGTGGTGGTGGTGATGACGCTGACGACGACAATGCGAATGATGATGGTGATGATGACGGTACTTGTTATTATTTTTCTGATGATGATGGTTATGATGACGATGGCGGCTATGATGATGACATTGATGGTGATGGTGTTGACGATGCTGATGGTGATGATGATGATGCTGATGGCAATTTGATGGGCATAATGATGCGGATGATGTTGACGAGGGCGATGATCATGACGATGCTGAAGACAATGTTAATGCTTCCGACAATAAGTATGACGACGGTGATGATGCTTATGATAATGTTTATGCTAATGCTGATGGTCATTGTGGCAGTGATGATGATTTGAAGATCATGATGTTGATGATGGTGCTGCTGCGGCTGCTGTCGGTGATGAGGGCGACGATGGTGACGCTGACGATGACGATGACAATGAGGATTGCGGTGATTGTGATGGTGATGGTGGCGGTGATGCTGATGATGAAGGTGATGATGATGATGATGGTGATCATGATGATGATGCTGCGGCTGCTGCTGCTGATGACGACGACAATAGTAATGACAATGGCGATGACGCTGACGAGGATGTCGATGCTGCTGCTGATGATGATGGTGATGGTGGTGATAGTCGTGAGGCGGGGAAGAAAAAAGATGATGATGATGATGATGATGATGATGATGATGATGATGATGATGATGATGAGGAGGAGGTGGAGGAGGAGGAGGAGGAGGAGGAGGATGAGGAGGAGCAGGAGAGGGGGTGGTGAACGAGGAGCGAGGTTAGGCTGGAGGGCGGGGGAGGAGAAGCAGGTGGATAGGGAGGAAAGGAGGAGGAGGACCAGTGTAAACGCAACAGGTATCAACGATGATGCAGTACACCCGCCCGTCCCAATGCCCATCCACATAAATCACTACAAGCCTGTTGTCCACTACAAGAAGCGCCCCCATCGAACGACCAACACCCTGGAGGCCTGCCGCTCAAGCGAAAGCCCCGTATCGAAAAGAACCTGCGCCGATCCCTCCCAACTCATAGTCAGGTGTGCGGAAGGGTCCCGCTCTCGAGACCACCTGCGGATGACTCGCCACCGTGCCGCTGGGCACGGAGTGGGCGTGTCCTCAGGTCCTGGGCCCACTCCTCTACACGTCGTTCATTTCTAATCGTGCTCATTTCTAATTGTGCTCGTTTCTAAGTGTTCCTGGCCCCCTGGTGGCCAGGAAGAGGCCCAGGATGGAACAGGTAGACATATGAAGGGATCGTGGCCCCCCACAGATCAAAGAACCCTCGAAGAATTAGACATGAACAGTGTCTGAGCCTCAACCCTCACTCCTGCGGAGTCTGCGAGGGGCCCGCACCCCTCGCTCTCGGTCCCCTGGGCTCCCCCGCGCCCTGTCGCGTGGCCTCTTCGGGTGCCCACGAGGCCCCCAAGACGAGCTCAGGCGCACCATCATCATCATCATCATCATCATCATCATCATCATCATCATCATCATCATCATCACCATCATCATCATCATTATCATCATCATCATCATCAGCATCATCATCATCATTGTCATCATCATCATCATCATCGTCATGATCATGATCATGATCATGATCTTGATAATGATCATGATCATCCTCATCCTTATCCTCATCATGATCATCGTCATGATCATTATCAGCATCATGATGATGATGATCATCATCATCACCATGACCATCACCATCACCATCATCATCATCATGATCATGATCATCATCATGATGATCATCAGCATCATCATCATCATCATCATCATCATCATCATCATGATCATGATGATCATCGGTGTCACGAAATGCAGCTCTGGGGCGCTCGGGCGCAAGATCTGCCCCGGGGCGCCAAAGGCCACCAGCAACTGGCAGCCCCCTGCGGGCCTCAGACGAGACCGCCCGGAGGCCAGCGAAGAGGACCATCGACCAGCTACTCGAAGCATGGCCGCCGCGCCATGGACTGCACGCTTACAGGGCCCTGGCCGACTCTGGAGTGCGCCGGGAAGGCTCGAGGGCTATGTCCCTCGAGACCCTGCGTGCTCCCTCGACGGGCCAGGATTTCACGGGGAGTCCAACAACGTCCTCGTCCTGAGAAGGACCCCCCCTGTCCGCATGACTGGTGCACGGGTCTACACGCCGGTCGGACGAAGCGCGTAGCAACGTGAAGCAGGAAGGCGCAGGAAGTAGATTAGACTTCCACCCGCCCCCCGAAGCGGAGGCAAAAAGGAACACCGCTCGACTCCTGAAGCAGGAAGGCGCCGAAAGCAGATGAGGATTTTGGGCATCCAAAAATTTACCTGCCTTCTGGCGTGTAAATGGAAAAGGATTTGGGCATCCAAAATCGACCGGCGCGTGCGCACTCCTCAGGATCTAGGATCTAGGAAGGATTAGGATCTAGGAAGGATCTAGGGAGGATTAGGATCTAGGAAGGCGCCCAAAGTAGATTAGGATTTTGGGCATCCCAAAATGCCCACCTCCAACGACCGGCGCGTGCGCACTCCTGGCCACGGGCGCCGGGGCAGGCCCCCCGCGCGAGCCGCCCCGTGCCGCGGAGGGGCCGCCCTCCACCCGTGCAGCTGCTTTTGCCGGCGTGGCGGCTGCGGGTCCTCACGGGGCCACGGCGTCGCAACACGAGGGCCCCGTCTGGCACACAGACAGACAAGGAGACACGAATCACAGGCTTCCCCCCTGTGTGTTTTTCCAATCTTTTCAGGTGTCTTTGTCTCCCCCCCCCACTTCCCA